TGGATATGACTCATCCAGTCCCTAAAGTATTTTATTCTCTTATAAGGTGTTTTCTTACGAGCTCCATTGGCGTAATATTGCTCTCTGGTGGCATTTGGTACGGCATTGCGAATGTTCTTACCACACTCGTAACACTGTGCTGACGTGTCATCTTCTATTTGCATTTTTTTACCACAACAAATATACTTATTTGGCTTAGTGGGTACAAACTTAGGTTTCAAACACTTTACACAGAAGTCATAAACGAACTCTTTACATTCATGCATATATGTTAGCATATTTAATGGCATTCGTTGGTGGTTTCCTTATCTTATTGTGTAGGCTCCTGTAATCCCCGTGGGTCATTTTAGGAGCTCATTTTCGATTACTACCAAAGTTACTTAATAGTAAAAATCCGGTTACTATAAATGGGGAGTTGGCGCAATAAATCCCCATGTTGCATCCGAAATACATAGTAAAAGTAGGGGTACTAGAGGCGGTAATTCCCCCTATAGGACTCCTAAATGCGGGCGTTAATGGGGGTCAGGGGGTGAATCAGGAGTGGCATCCCCTATGATACTGCATTAATCAACTCTGAACTGTAACTACGCAACAGATTAACTTATATACGGGATCCCTTTATTATATATGCCCGCAATGGCCTCCTATGATGACGCCAAGACCCTTGCTTACCATCCTCCATAATTTCTGACCGACCAAAAAAATCGTAGAAGCACGACCCATTTTAAGACTGGCTTGCTAAAGGCAACCCAGCCAAGCTTCATATTTTTTCGTAAATTGAAAACTTTCTAGATTTTTACTTATCAGTACACATTTACGTTAAACTATAATTTTGATGTCATCAAAACCGAATTCAATAAATATTTTATTATACATTGTTTAAAGCGCCTATCATCCTTCTGACAATATTACTATTATTCACTATTTTACATGGGGTTAGCTGTTGAATGAGCCGAAAAAAATTAATGGTTTGAGTGCGGCTTCTTGAAGCTATAAAGGTTTTGCCATGCTATAAGCAAATGACTGTGACGAGGCATTTATGTTTATTTGTCATTCACTTATATTTGTACTATGTGAAAACTAACTTGAAAAAAATTTTTATGAGCAATGTTAAAGCAATGATGTATTTCAAATATAATATATATTCGTATATTCAATGACTTTTTTTTCGGGTCATTCAACAGCCTATTCCATGTAGAATCAACATGTCTTATAGATCAATATTCTTAAATCTTAAAATATACTAATAATCATGTTGCCCTCAAAGAACTGCATCATGATTACGAGACATGCCTAGAACAAAATTTTACCTCAGGTATCTTTGTTCCAACAGGGTATCGCTGTACGGTGACTTCTTTTCCCTTCATGATATGTTGCATCTCAATGACCCTTTCCACAACTATTTAAAGTAAGTCGGAAAAAAAATGTGCCCTTTTCAACTATTGGTATTCGTCATATGAACAGGTAGAATTTTAATTGTATTGCTGGTCCATAACGTAACTCGCGAAGCAAAGATTCAGAGTAATTTTTTTCTGATTTCGGTCGCCATGTTTTTTCGATGGACTGCTTGATCAGAGTTCTTCTTGCGCGATGACTGGCTGGTTTTTGACGGGCTGCCAAAACAAGATCACCTGGAAAGGTTTCGTATCCACTGACGTTTATGTTTATTACATTTCATTGCCAAGCATTCGAATAAAACAAACAAACAAACAAACAAACAAACAAACAAAAACTCAGCTTGTGCAGATTAGTTTTCCGTTTTAGTACCTCATTTATAGAATCTCATGCATTTGCAAATGATAGTTCTCGCAGTTGCAAGTCATTTCATGTAGCACTGAAGATGGCCAATATGGCGGAAAGCTTGGCATCAAATAAACGTCGTGGACACGAAATCCTACAAGAATCAAACTATAAGGTGCCGTTTACATGATACCGGTCTAAGAATTTCGTTCCGGAACGAGTTCATCCCGGTTGACATATATTTCCTTGGTATTTGTTCACATGATACCAGAGCAAAATTTCATTCCAGAGCGAGTCATTCCGGAATGAGTTCATTCCGATATTCATTCCGGAACGAAACGCTTATTCAGGAATGATATTCCGTACCGATACCGTGTGGTACTCATTTCAGAAATGTCTGATGCATATACAGTCAATTCAAAAAACGTTTACGTCGATCGGCTCAAGCCTACGCGACTGGACCGAAAGGAATATGGGTAAAAATCACTGAAGCGGTTAAATATTCGTTCTGAATTAATTGTTCCCGCTAGTAATAAGATAATAATGGCGAGAAACAATCCATCAATTGCATGTCTTTGGGTTTAGGGAAAGAAAAACAAAGTAGTTATGATTCAGTTCACAATTCCCAAAATATGTGTTTAGTCTATCACGGCCGAAAATCAAACAGTGCTATTTTTAGTTTTTGGCTTTTTTTCTCCTCTTCCTCAAGTACCGGCGATTTTTCTGATATTTTTCAGAATCTTATCATCTAGTACTATTGCAACCTGTGTATAATTAACAAATCGAAGTCAGTTTTCTATCGGTCTGTACTGTAATCGAACATGAACGTCATTTCATGTTCGATTACAGTACAGACCCATGGAAAACTGACTTTGATTAGTTTATTTTTTTACCATAACAAAGTCGAAAAAATTGAACAAAAAGACAAGTAAATAGTTTTAAAAAGCAGTTTTATCCGCTCGCTCTGTGCTGCGCGTGACGGATGTCGTAAGCACAAGCAGATCTAGCCTCTAATCGACACAATGGTTCTAAGCCAAGAACCATTGTCGATAAGAGGCTACTAGACTTGCTTGTGCTTACGACATCCGTTATGGTAAAAATTTGGATTGAAAGTCTTGGGCTTCTCGAACTCTTCGGATATGTTTTTTATTATATTGTTGTCGTAAGCCTCGAAAATGCTTTGAATGAGTTTTGCTAAAAATCACGTTTTCGCCGTTTTATTCAAAACGGTTCCATGTTTTTTAACTCGTGGATGCGCGAAGCGTAGAAACGAGATATTGTGAGGGGTCTGAATATGCAAATGTGTCACTCACTCGCTCACTCACTCACTCACTCACTCACTCACTCACTCACTAAGATGTTAGCAGATCGATAAATAAACGTTTAGCGATCGTCTTACGTCATCTAATTACGAATGTTACACCACACTAACAAGCACAAAGCTCTTATACAATATAGATTACTTTGTTATTTTATATGAGGAAACGAAATGCTCATATTCCATGTGGGATATATTTCTAACACTTGTAGACGCCGTGGGGGCCCACTGTGCATGCGCACACTCGCACATAGTTTTATCTTCGAATTATTCATATTAAAGGAATCAAGGAAAGATGCAAGTTGAAGTAAAATTATACAATTAACACCTGAAATAAAATTTCAATGAGTTAGACCTTTTTTTCTGATGTATTTTAAGAGCGACTTTCTGTAAGAGTCGACCAAACATCGGCACAAGTCAAAAAATCGATTTCGCTCATATTTTATTCATAGGTAGCCTATAGTGTGAAATGAAACGTGCTGTAGTTAGTTTTTTAAAATATTGCTTTGTTTGGCGAGAATTTGAGAAAAACGATTTTGACCGGAAACGGCA